AGGAATGTAATTTCTGGGTTAAAGAATGCAACAGCTTTAAGGTTTTTACATTTATTCCTTTAAATTAGCATGAAATAATTTAGCCATTGCTTCCTAAACTTTGCAGGTTCTTAAAATTTTCATCTCATAAGTGAACAAGGATTCTATAATGACTTTATCTTTTGTGGGTTTTTTTTTTCCCAAGACTATTTTCTTATTGTTTCCTAAACTTTGCAGGTTCTTAAAATTTTCATCTCATAAGTGAACAAGGATTCTATAATGACTTTATCTTTTGTGGGTTTTTTTTTTCCCAAGACTATTTTCTTATTGTTTGAAAAAGTAGATGAATTTTAATAGAAGTTGCATCAAATTTTGAAGGTTTGGAACTATTTTCTAAGTAGTTTATTAAAAATATTCTTATTTTGTGATGTTTTAAAATGTTTGTCAAACTTCATATTCTCAAATCGTTCTTCAATCTTTGATACAGAAACAACCTTCTGTGTCTTTACCTCCTTTCATTTCGCCATCTCACTTTCATCTCTTATAGTGAATTATTTTGATATTTACCCCCATGTCTCTCAATTGCATGTTTGTATTACTACTTCACGGTCCCCCTCCCCTAATATTAGCATTATTTATTGACTTCCCATTCTGAAATGTGCAGATTTGGCTGTCTTCACTCCCTTTGCCTCCATCACATGTGTGTTCTTTTTCCCTCCTTCCATCTTCCCATATGGTTATACTGCAATTCTAGTTGGATCAATATTCGGTGTTTATATTGCAGTAACTGTGAAATCCCAATACACAGCTGAGTCAGGTAATAAACTCTGATAATAAACCATTCCTTTCCTGTACAACTTTTTATTTTTTCCCTTGAGTAAATAATTGTCTTGTTTTCTTCATTTATTTAGTATTCTTTGTATTTATCAGTATTTCAACATTACATTCATTGCCAGTTTTCTAATCTCTTATTCAGATGTTCTTATATATGAAGTACTTTGTCAGCTTCCTCCTGCTGAAGAAATCTTTTTTTCCAGGGCTTCTGACTTGGTCTAATCTGGACTGGTTTCTCTCTATGGCTATTATAAGGCTGACATCCTGACATGTCTCCATTATCCTGGAGTTTCTTTTACCTTCCTCATTGTGTGTTGGAGTCTTTGTTGTCTGGTTCCAATGCCTTTT